TCATGTTCATGTCCGTGCTCAGAATATTCACGATAGCATCAGTACTGTTCTCTTTAGTCAAATCACCATTTACCACCTCAACTGTCAAATGTGAGTTGCCAATTTGCTTGGGTTGCAGTTTTTCCATCTCTTGTTTGAAGGCAGCAGTTAATGCTTGATCTTGGTTAAACATGACAAATCGGATGTCCCGTAAATTAGAGCCAGGGTTGGCTCGGCAGAAATCGACTGTTTCCCCCAACATGATTCTCGAGGCTGTATCGCGTGGGAATTGTAGATTTCCAGTTCCAATGACAGGAAATGCAATGGAGTTCGCTCCAAGCGTTTCGCCTTTCCGCAGACACTTTTGAACAATGGCCCTTAGCGTCTACAAAAGATGAAATAGAAGTTGTTGAATGTTAATATGTTGGATACTAACAGGGCGCCATGTAGGATGTTCACACAAGTGGTATTTCCTTTTTGGATCAGGATCGAAGATGTTGAGATTATAACCTCACGGAATTTACCTTTGGAATCGGGCCTAATTAATTCTTTTTTTAGTGGTGAAAATTTCACAGCTCAATTTGTTTTTCTCTAGCAAGATCTTTGCTCTCACTAATTCTTCAAAATTTTTTATCAGGATTTTCATATAATATTAGAAATTGAAAGTTAAGTTATGCAACAATTCTGTCGTTACATATTCGATTAATCATTCTCGAAGAATTCGGTGAGGAGTGAGGCTTGTCGCCTTCGATTGTTTTGGCCTAATGAACATGACGGAATGTTTGACGGTAACCTACATCGGAAATAACATTAAATAGAGCCTGAACAGTCTTCAGTTGCTGTATGCTACAAGAGAATGGATAGGATTCGATGTATTTTGCTGAGGTCCTTTCTTTCAAAATTGAACTAATAATAAATTATGTACGTACACTTTATTGTTTCTTACCGGCTCCCCTTCACCGTTGTTCCACTCACAACAGTTTGTGTGAATCACGTGACTGACCGAGGAAAAACCACCTGAGACAGTGATGTCACCAACGCTGGGGGTTGCGGCCTGAGGACCACCAGCATTAATGATTGCTTTCTCGCATGCTCCTTGGGAACTGACAAGTACGTCAACCTGAAATACAACAGGCAAAATAATAGTGTTAATGATTCATTAACTTCTTCAATAAGGTGGACTGTTGTCGTTATCAGACTTGGCGCTCTCAATAAGAGAGACGTTACGTAATATAACCACACTCTAGGAGCACATGGGAGCTAAGTGAAGAACTGAAGTTCACAAATATTTCAGCATGATCCTCTAAGGTATTTTCGTAAAATATTCTCCTGGTGCGAAGAAATCAGTGTCAATCCTACCTTCTCTGCCCCTATGTTTCCACGTTTCCACGACACTCTGTGACTTTGGGCTATTACCAGGGTAGACGAGTCAGTTCCAGCAGTGGTAACGTGGTCATCCTTCACATCATCTTCACAGGCGCCTGAAGAAGTAGAGACGTTGGATACAGATTCGGGCTGCAACTCCTCGTCCCTTCCTCCTCGACCTAAATTTTTCTGGACTTTTATGGCACAGTCTTGATCTCTTTCCACCAATTTCACCAGCCGATCTCCTTTTCCACTGTCAAAGTATTTTCGAAGGCCCGGCTGTTTCACTTCAAAGGTTTTGAACTCAGTCGAATCCATCAGAGAGTAGAGCTTCTTTCCTGCACGTTTCAAACCCTCTCTTTTTCCAGAAATCACAAAATCAACATCGTCTTTTCCCTTTTTAATACTCACTACAAAATCTTTTAGTTGATTCTCTATGGTGCGTAGATCTTCTTGACGTAGCTCAAGAAGATACCTTCGCATAATATCAGACGTGCACACAAAACTTTCCTCCCTGATGCAATTGTTTTCAAGAAAGGTATTTAACTTCTTTATCACTTCGGTCACGTCATCACGAAACCCAGCCACGTATGTATCGTTCCACTTGTCTCTCCGGACACGGACAGTTGTTTGGTACATCTCGTCACACAACCTCAGCCATTCAGATGACTTCAACAAATGCTTGCTTTTCTCGTCCACTTGAACTTTCTCTTCCACCGTCAACCTGTTCACGAGCCCCGCCGCATTGTTTGCATGCGCTGCTGATGATCCCACTATGGTGACGTCTTTCTTAATTACGATCACTGCTTCCACGTTGTTTCTTTCCAACTCACAATTCACAGTCTTAAGCCCTTCATCTGAGTTTAGAATTTCCAGGATGCTGGCGGATAAAGTTAGTTTCTTCTCAACCATGTCAGCCATTTGTCTGTAGAACTTCAAGGTTGCCTCAGTAAATTGTAGCTGGGGACCTTTGAAATATATTTCTTCACCTTCAGTATTAATCTTGATCTCTAACTCCTTGTTCTTTTCTCGGAGTTTCTCGGCAAATTTTGTCTTCTTCAGCAAAATTAAGCGCTCCATGGGAACTTTTAAAATTTTCTTCCTCAGGTAAGTTTTTCTGGTCTCCTCGTGGTAGATTTCTTTCAACTTGGACCCCACCTTTTCCTCATTACTTTTCACGTCTGATGAAGCGATCCTAGCAATATCTGAATCAGGAATGGTCTTGACCATCGGGGGACCAACTCCTAAGCAGGTGCGAACCCTCGCAAATGCGCTGAGATAATTTTGTACTTGCTCAATGTATTCAGATTGCATTTTGTCGTTGTTCAATTTAGCTCGGAATCCTGTGGATGTGGCGTATTCCATAACATCGGGATCTACAGCTGTGTGCAGTAGTTGTGCTTTGGCATCAGGTTTCTGGCTCATTCTAGATTCACTGACCGTGGTGGCAGTAGCTCCTAAGTCACCGGAATCCTCTACTCCATCAACGTCTTTGTCTTCTAGAAACTCTCGGTAAGCTCTAATTGACAGCTGGGCTTGTTTAATCTCATAAGGCTTCTCTTCATGTCTAGTTAACACCCTTTCCATATCTGTTTATTAAAGCAACTAGGTGTCAAGGATTTCCCCGCAGAAGTTATTTGTTGTTTCACAACACTTCATGACACTTTAATTTGAGGGAGACGCACAGATTAAGGACGATGTGGTTGTAGCGGCAGAGTAGATCAATCAATCAATCAATCGATTAATGAACGATCGGTCACTAATTTGTCCTTCTCTAAGTCTAATGGACCTCTAAAGTCTTAAATCGTGAGAACCAATATTTGCTACATATGTTTGAGAATCAGATGTGGATTATTCGAGCCTGAAAGAATTACACTATACTTATATTTTAGAGATCAATGAGTTACAAACCTTTTGCATCTTGAAACACAACCACAGCTCGCCTACTTTTAGGAACACAGTGAACCTTCTCCACTGGACCCCCACCGTTTCCACGACTCTCAAAGTACAGTTTGATAAAATCATGGGTAATGTCTGAAAAGCCAGTGACAAGGATGCTTTTGCAAACCGGGACTTTTTCGATGGAAACCTTTGCATCATCCGGACCTCTCTCCTCGCATTTAGTCTTTATTTCCATGAAATCTAAAGAAAATAGATCACATTCTCAACAAATGTTTGTCTTATGTGATCTCCACTTTTGGAGTCTTCCTGAAAGGAACAACACTCACTAAATTACATTTACAGTTCCCAAACTTTACAAGTAATTCATGTACATGTAATTTTGATAGTTTAGAGAAGAAAATCGAAATGTCCAAAAATGTTGGGTCACCTAAAATAAGGCATCTTAATTCCTCAGCAACTGCTTAAGCCCACAACAATTCTAATCGATGAAAAGTTAATTAATATAATTTAAAGGTATGTTCATCGCGTAAAACTGAGAGGATGAAACTGAGCTGGCGTGAACTTTCATCCCTGATAACTCGCGAGCAGATCATAGAAGTACAAAAGAGAAATTCCTGCTTAATCTCCAAATTTCGTTGAAAGATACGTACTTTTGATTTCATCAGCCATGGTGACTAAGGCTTTTCCATTCTTCAGCATCTGTACGTCC